TGAAATGAGTTTTAACTTTTTTTTTCCTGTCACACAAACACGAACTCAAACTAAAATAAAACGCGAGGGCTAGAAAGGAATAAAAATCACATATTAATATGTTGCGTTTCAAACTAAGGGGGGAAAAGGAATTCCTCTCACTCCAGGAATGTTTAATTTCTCTATTTCCCTGAGGAGGAAGGGGATTTATAGTGGGAGGTATTGTAGTTTCCTAGTCTCAGCTGATACTAATTATGAACCATGGAAAGCAAATCATAATTAAGGGTATAATGGGGTCCCAGTGAGCCCCAAAATGTCACCATTTAAATACAAAGATCCGGTTCAAATGTCTATGGAGATTCTTAGTCATCCAGGTCATGGAGAGAATAAAGGAGAATAAACTGATCAGGACTAGATTCAGCAGTCCATCTGCATTTAAAAGACACAGGCCACTCTTTTGAAGACAGCAAAGTCCATATTTTGGACAGAGAGGATCAATGGTTTGAAAGAGGAGTTAAAGAGGCTGTTTTATGTCAAAATTGAACAGCCCTCTGTCAACAGAGGGGAAGGAATATGACAAAATCTATTTCCAATCTACAGCACAGTCTTTTCAACAATTGCAAAAGGGCTCCACACTCATTTGCGCCACTCAGGTGATCCTGATGACATAGATAAACCTCCAGGTGACCTTAAGGACTCTCTAAAAGAATGCAAATGACCAGCTATCTGCAAGGAGTATAAATCCTTCCATTCCCCACCATCCAGTCAGAGCTGAAGAAGCTTCTTGAATGAGGAGTGAAACGTCTTCAAAGAAAAACTAGAAAGTCCAGTTGCCTCTTGAAAAAGCACCTTTGAGTTCAAACATTCCATTATGGTTTGTTTAACCAAAATTTATTAACATTTGGCTATGTTCACACATACTTAGCCATGATTTGTACACTCAATGACTGAGTTTCTAAAACAGACTAAATGGAAACCAAACCCATCTGTACTGTTTGGTATGTTGTGAAAAGAAGCGTAACTGGAAAATGAAAGGTGAAGGGCCCTACATTAAGTAGAACGTTTGTTTTTATGTATTTTGTTATTTGAATTTAGGCAACTGTGATTTGTAATCATGGTTTAATATGCTGTGTGAAACCAGACCTTGCAGCTTTGTCAAACCATAACTGAATGCTATTAAAATATGTGCTGGAAGTATCTGGAGAAGTGGCAAGTTTGTATAACTGTTAGTACCATCCATTGACCATTTGAATCTTTGCATTTATATCTCTTAACTGTGTACAGTAATTTAAAACACCAGAGCTTAAACTGATGGGCAGTGGGGCTGAATGTGGGAGCAACTATAGATTATAAGATTTCCCCCCACTGCACAATACATGTGCAGAATAAAGGCAAAGATCCATACAGAGTGAACTTTTTACTATGACAAAAATTGAGATTCAAAAGTCATATCTGCAATATAGAAAAGAGCAATAAAGGAAAGTCTTTGATGAAAAGTTAAAATACAGGATTTTTCACTTTATTCTGAAGTAATGTTGTTTAAATATTCATATATTCCAGGATTTCAGACAAAACACTTTTTAAAAAAAGTTTGAAAAGTATGAACATCAAAATGGCTATATTTCTGATTCTGCTTAGCATTTGTGACCATCCCCATGTTAGCTAGGCGCTTTCTCCTGATTTGAGGAACTTAAATTTAAAACTCAGAAATTCACATTGTGAATCCAGATGGACCATAGATGGTGCTAGAAGCAAAAACACGTCCTTAGACTTTTCTTTAAATTTTTTGTCCATTTTTTCTCAAGGAGTAGTTCTAGCATTTCATTAGGGGCTGGCTAATTATATTTATTTATGCCATTGTATAAAAAACCTTGTGCAGTTCTAAAGCTGGATTTTAAATGAGACTCAATGTTATGTACACAGCTAACTGCTCCAAATCCTTTCTTCTTCACAGAATATTACAGAATATTTTGCATATGAATGAACAATTACACTAACCTGAACTTCATACTCTTGTAACAACAAAATGACTTTACAACAAAAGAAATTGTTAAAATCTAAATTCAAAAATGAAATAAAACATAAATTAAAATAATATTTTAAAAATAGGAATCTTGATCAGCAATAATTCCTAGGAATACAGTTGAACTTTCCAGCGAAGCATTTTCCTTAGGGCCACAAAAGAATAGATTGTATCTTTTCCCAATCTTACTTCCCACCCACCCCCACTCCCCAAATCTGCTACATGGAATGATTTTCTAATTTTTGTTTTCCCAGCAATTTTGTCCAGAGTAACAACTTGCTCTGCATAGTAAGAGATTGCATCGGAAGCAACAGATTTAAAACCTAGGATGTGGAGAAATATATTTTACTGGATCAAGCTGGAATTGTTTAGGGTCAGCTGTATATAAGCATGAGTTTGTAAGTAAATTACCATATTTTGAAAACATGTATAATAGCAATGATTTATCATTACGAAAGGAAATGGGTGTCACAATGTGAGTGAAGCGGGGTGGGATGGTAGATCAAAAGCTTTGTATAGAGTTCATTATGCCACTATAATTTCTGTCTTGGCATTTTACTGTCAGTAGGTCAGGAGAGCAGGACAGTAGTGGTTAAAGCAACAGGCTAGAAACCAGGTGACTGGGAGGCCTAGTCCCCCCTTGAGCACAAACCCAGCTGGGAGACCTCGGGTGAGTCTTTGAGCTTTAGGACAGAAGCAGTGGCAAACCACTCCTGAAAAACCTTGTCAAGTAAACAGCAGGGACTTGTCCAAGCAATCTTGGAGAATTGGATATATAATTGAACAGAAAGGGGAGGAAAAGTCACTTTTTTTGTGGCTGTACTTGACTGATCCAGTTGATCTTGAAAAAATTAAGATCTAGTGATACTGAGATGGGAAACAAACAAACAAAATGCTCTGAATCTTGAACAAAATTTCTTCTCTCTTAATTCCAGTAATGGTAGACGGTCTAATTCTCTTTCCCCTAACTTCTTACTTACTAATAGCAAATTTTCACATTGCTATTAATTTGTTTTATAACCCCAGTCAGTTGTTTTACAGAGCTTTCCATCTTCTTAACTTCTTCTTCTCCTCTTTCATCTTTACAAGTTTTTCATCCATTCTTCTTTCAAAAGCTGCCAATTTGTTCAGACAACATATTGCCTAAATCCTCACATATTTTCTGAAACAAAGGCTAGTGCTATTCTGGTTTCTGCAGGTTCTTCCAGCAATCCTCTCTTCTGTTCTTGCTGCTTTTCTGGTGTTTGTTCATTATACTATTGCAATCAAAAAGCATCTTAATTACAAGGGAAGATTAAAAAGCAGGTTTCCCCCACCACTACCACTTTTTCTTTTCTGTTCTATCTGCCCTTAATACTTTGGTCTCAAATGGTACTCATAGTTACAGACACCATTAGCCTGGTTCAATACAGCTAAAAGGTTGCAGAATATGGCGGAAGGAATGATCAATTAATGAGCAAGTTCCATCTTTGTTTGCTTCTAATACACTTATTGATGTCAGAAGTAGCAATGTACAATTGGCAGAACCTGGTTTCCTTTCTCAGTTTAAATGGACCTGTGCAGGATAGGGCTAAAATCTTTCAAAAGACTAATTGGTAGTCCTATTTTCTTTAAACACAAGTCTAACACATTTTCAATAAACATTAAACCTGTGGAGGACCTGAGATGCATTTCAAAAAAACATCAGCTAGGGTTACCTGTGAAGGTCCTATTTAGGGGTGGGTTCTACTTTCCTTTACAACCAGTTTGCAGCAGGGCTGCACACACGCGCTTGCTTTGCTCGTGCGCGCACGCTCTTCTGCACATGCACAGAAGTGTTTTGATGACGTCGGGATCCGTGGGTGGAGCTTTCCGCCAGTTTTACTACTGGTTCTATAGAACCGGTGCGAACCAGGGGCAACCCACTGGTTCTATTACAGAAGACAAGAACCTGGTCTCATCTTTAGATATTTTAACATTTCTACTTAAATTTTTAAAAATACAATATTTTTATAAAAGGTTAATTGCTTGTGATATTATGTATTAATGAAATATGCTGGAAAATGTGAGTATTGACATGATAGTGTCAAGTAAAGAATGAGAACAGGCTGGAATAGTTTGTTACGTAGTGTTGTGGCCTGCCAGCTGCTAGTGGAGCTGGCGGCAGACTGGGACGATGAGAAGGTTGGTGGGCCAGTTCTGAAGTCTGGGAAAGGCTCTGATGGATACTCTGAATCAGACGTAGAGATAGAGCCAGCGCCATCCAACATTTCCCAGCCACCGGAGAGGCAGTTGCCTTTGGAGGCTGATATGAGTGAGGAGGAAGAACATCTGAGCCTGTTCCAGATGCATGTATGCGCAGAGCAGTTAGAAGAGGTGAGCAATGGAGGACAAAGAATCAACCCGGGCAGCAAAGCACACGTGAACGCTAAATGGCCCCTCCCTGGCTGGGGAATAAATAGAAGGAAAGGGGAGTGGTTGTCATAGGAGACAGTCCATATTTCTGAAGATTTTGCTCATAGTGTTTTGTGCCACGAAGTCTGCTTGCCAGAATTTAATTTGCAGCCTTTTGGCTGGGAGCTCACAGCCTTGCAATTATCACAAAAAATCGATAAGTTCCACTACTGCAGTTAATTAATTGAAGGACTATTGCCTGGACTTTTTGATGGGTGATTCACAAGAGGTAAATAAAGAGGGGTTTTGCATGACAAGGAGTCTGTTTCTTGCTTCTGTTAAGGCTAGTCAGAACAGATGGTTGAGGTAGAAGGTAATGCGACTGAGAAATTAAGGGTGGTGTAGCCCAGTGGTCCCCAACCTTTTTATCGCCGCGGACCAATCAGCCTTTGATAATTTTACCGTGGCCCGCTGAGCGCGCGCAGGGGTGGGGGCTTTGGGCCACACGTGCGTACCTGCGCGGGGCTCTCTTCCCTGGAGCCTTTGCGCACGGCCCAGGAGCTTTTGCGCACGGCCCAGGAGCCTTTGCACTGCAGCGTTCATGTCCCCCGGCCGCTGCGCGGCCCGGTGCCAGGTACTCCATGGCCCGGCACCGGTCCGCGGACCGGGGGTTGGGGACCACTGGTGTAGCCGATTGGGTTGGGACTGGAAGATGGTGCATCAGTCATGTTTGCATGACAAATCAGTGGTGGGTTGCTACCAGTTCACCCCAGATCGGGCAAAGCGGTAGAGGCAGGAGGCTCCGCCCACCCACCCGGACGTCTCTGCACATGTGCAGAAGCATCACATCCATGCCCATGAGCAAACCGGTAGCAAACGAAATTGAAACCCACTACTGTGACAGATGTGTGGTGAATTAACTGCTAAGAGTCTAGGGACATTGAGTACTAAAGCAAAGGAATCTGGAAGAAAATATGCATTACCAAGACCCACTGGGCATTTAGGGGTGGGACTCTCTTCTCAGAAATGTATCCACCTGAGTTTTGATTATGGCACCAACTGTGACCCCCCAGGGCCACAGTTATTCAAGAGACTGAAAGCTTTCTGAGGTATTGCCCTACATATAGCCAATTGTGATTCGATTCCAGGGAACAAATGGAACTATTGTTACTATAACAATCTCCTTGCTATGTAGACCTTCTCTACCTGAACTGCTTGACTTCATATCTAGGCTGATATTGGAGTTCTCGAATAACTATATAACATTAAGCTTCTAGATGCAATTCAAGGGTTGTTATATATAAAGCTCTTCATGATGCAGGACTGGGTATTCACAGGACCATCTGTCTCCAACTGTCTACTCATTCCCTCAGATTTGGCAGATTGGTTATGCTTCAGGTCTCTTCCACAAAACAATGTCACTTAGACCCAGAGATCATGTCTTCTTTGATGCAACATTTGTCCTATGCAGCATCATTCCCTTCAAGGCTAAAATTCTTCTGTCCTTTCACAAGTGCCTTAAAGACAAGGCTCTTCCCCAACTTTGAGTCAGGCCCTGTAAAATATAAGACATTTGAATGAAATTTGTGTTGCTGGCATGGCATGGTTCCTATTATTGTTAATTTCTGTTATTCTGTTATCAAGTTGCTCTCTATCTTCTTATTTACTTTATTATTTGATAGTTTACATACTTGTTTCCATGTTTTTCCAATTAAGAGCAAGGGTGGTATTCAGCTGGTTCGGACCGGTTCGGGTGAAACAGTTGTTAAGATTTTGTGCAGTTCGGAGAAATGGTAAATTGCAACTCCAGTTGGCCCCACCCCTTCTTGCCCAGTTACTCCTCATCTCGCCCGCCTGCCACACCATTGCTAACCTGACTTTGCCCACCATATCATTTCTGCCTGACTTCGCCCACCATTGCTGCCTGTCTTCCGCCATGGCCCTGATCTCCTCCAGGTGATTCTGCAAGCAAGCCCCAGTCGAGTTGACTCATGGGCCGGCCTAGGCTGCCACTGCTATGTTGTCCCCACTCCCATGTCCCTGGCTTGGCTAGCTCCACCACTGCCGCATTTCCATTGCATGTGGCATGTGGCCTAGCTACCAATCTCCCCCCCTCCAAGTCCCTGGCCTTGCCTGGCTAGCTCCGCCAGCCGCCGCTAGCTCTGCTGCTGCTGCCACATCTCATACGTGGCACACGGCCTAGCTACCAATCTGCCCCTCACATCCCTGGCCTTGCCTGGCTAGCTCCACTGGCCGCTGCTAACTCCACCGCTGCATCTCCATCGCACGTGGCACATGGCCTAGCTACCAATCTGCCCCACCCACATCCCCGGCCTTGCTTGGCTAGCTCCGCCGGCCACCGCTAGCTCTGCCACTGCTACAAGCCCTGGTCGAGTCAACCTGGGACCAGCAGGTTCTGCTGCAAGCCACGGTTGAGTCAGCCCAGGGTTGGCAGGTGCTGCCATTGCCAAAAGCCCCAGTCAAGTTGACCCGGGACCAGCAGGTGCTGCCGCCACCACAAGCCCCAGTCGGTCAACTCAAGTGGGCCAGCCTACCTGCCGTCCCTGGCCTTGTCTGCCTGCCTTCCCTACTCCCTTCCCCGTGGCCTTCCCGGCTGTCCCCGTGGAAGCGAAATAATATTATTTCTTAAAAATTGCCTCCAGCTTACCTGCTGCCTTGCTTTACACGGCCCAGGCCAACACTGTCAGTCTGATCTGCTTACAAGCCTCCCTGAATCTGCCTGCCTCCCATGTGACCTGCCTGCCTTGGGTAAGTTGCTCTTTTTTTTAATTATTAAATAATTAAAAAAAATAAATTTAAAAAAAATTAAATTAATTTAAAAGTTCATTATTTACATAGTGTACAGTTGGGTACCGAAATGGTGTAAGGTCTCCTGCTTGGGCAGGGCAGGGTTGGACTAGATGACCCACAAGGTCCATTTGTTAATCTGTTAAAATAAGAAAAGGGGAGGAAATTGGAGCCTATACAGGCTGACCTGGTGTCAGGACAGCTAGGCCTCTCCCATCCCCCACTCCCATGACCCCCCACTTCAGACAGAGTCCACTTGACAGGTAAAAATTGGTCCAGGGAAGAAAAGCTTCCTGGATTATTTTAAAATAGCTGAAATCCAGATATTTTTTCTCTTCCCAAGTTTGACTGTTGTTTTGGGGTGTTTCAGAACATCCAGCTTGGCCCAACCCTACTACACATAAGGACTATTTGAAGTGCTGGAAAAAAGTGACTTATGACTGGTCCTGAAACTTACGACCGGTTCTCACATTTATTACCATCACAGCATTCTTAACAACTGTGTCACTCATTTCACAACTGCGGTGCTTCACTTCACCACAGTGACAAGGTAGCTTGTAAAACGGGGGCAAAAATCACTTTGAACAAATGTCTCACTTAAGCAACTGAAATGTTGGGCTCAGTTGTGGTCGTGAGTTGAGGAATAGCTGAGTTTTATTTCCCCGTATATAGGGACTCTTCAGAGGGCTGAAAAAAGTGAATTATGACCAGTCCTTGCACTCATGACCGGTCCTCACATTTATGACTATCGCAGCATTCTTAATAACGATATCACTCATTTCACAACTGCGGTGCTTCATTTCCCCACGGTGACAAGATAGGTCGTAAAACGGGGGCAAAACTAACTTTGAACGAATGTCTCACTTAAGTGACAGAAATTTTGGGCTCAGTTGTGGTCGTGAGTCGAGTACTAGCTGAGTTCCCCTACACACTTATGACCAGTCCTCACATTTACGATCGGTCCTTGCACTTATGCCCATTGCAGCATCCTCACGCTCACATGATCAAAATTTGGCTGTTTGGCAATTGGCATGTATTTATGACTGTTGCACTGTCCTGGGGTCATGAGATTGCCATTTGTGACCATCCCAGCAGGCGTTTGACAAGGGGGTGGGGGGTTTTGATCAGGAAGTTATTTGTCTTATTTTTACACATCCACCGGTGACTGACCTGGCTTGGTACTGGTGGACAGCAGGAAATAGCAATCTGTTCAGAAAAATACCAATTATTTTGTGTGGGTTTTTGCCCCTGATGGCAATAATATTTCTGACATCGTTCTTACAACTAATAACATTTTAAAAAAGGAATTTCATTGTTGGCCATGACAAGAATTTGCCCTCTTTGCTCCTGTTTCTGCTAACTGCATCCTACTCCTTCAGGGCCGCCAGAGTTAATAATTCTGAGGTATCAAACAGTAATCCAATGAGATCATAAGTCGAGAAGTATCTGTAATCAGTGGAAAGTGCTCCATCACTGGAGGGTTTCAAGAAGAGACTGGACAGCCATTTGTCTGAAATGGTATAGGGTTTCCTGCTTGAACAGGAAGTTGGACTACAAGACCTCTGAGTTCCTTCCAACTCTTTATTCGGTAAGGGTCTCCTGCTTGAGCAGGGGGCTGGACTAGAAGACCCAAGGAATGAGCCCAGCAGTAGACCCAGAGTTGGAAGGGACCATGAAGGTTGGAAGATCCAAAAAAGTCACAACACTCCAACTTGGAGAAAGCAGCCCGAGCACAGCAAGTACTTCCGATAATTCGGACATTGCAAATAATCTCCCTGACTGCTGGACATTGCAGCAATACATCAACTTTAGGGAGAAATATGACGGACTGGCAGTTTCCCCCCAAAAAAATTAGTCTGCAAGTATTGCAAAAAAATTGACATTAGAGCAGCAGGAAAAAGTGTTCACATAGCTAAGGAGTGGAAACATTTTGAAATAGAGGCTTCTGGGAAAAGTAAAGAGGTGCAACAGCCTCTTGTAGGAAAAAGATGAAAGAGCACTTTTTATCCAAAGCTCACATCTTCTGCACAGAGAAGTTGAAGCAGTGTGAGGAGGATGCAATTAGTAAAGGACTGGACAAGATGACAGAATAGTATTTAGGTAGTACTTGTTGAGTATTCAATATAGTTTACAACCTGGCCCAAAGATCAAAACCATTTTCTGATGTAGAAGGTAAGATAGAATCACAAATTAAAAATGGAGTAGATCTGGGAATAGGATTGCATTCACGTAAAACTGCAGTGAAAATAGTTGATTTCATTGCAAAAGACATTAGGAAACAATTATTTACTAAAATTATTGAAAAAAATCTGAAAATATGTTTGATTATTGATGAAGCCTCAACAATATCTTGCAAACAAGTTCTTATACTTTACTTAAAAGTTGAGGATTCAGTTAACTCACCAACAATTTTCCTTGAGCTAGTTGAATTGGAAAAACAAGATGTACAGACAATATGTTCTTCAGTTATGGAAAGTTTTAAAAATGTTGGCTTTACTAAGAACTACCGATAAGAACATTTAACAGCATTTTACTCTGATGGTGCCAGGGTTATGCTTGAGAGAAAATCTGGAGTGAGCACTAGAATAGCAAAAGAGTTTCCAAACATCATAATGTGGTACTGCTTTTAAACCATTGTCTCCAACTTGTTTTAGATGACTCCATAAAGGAAATAAAGCAAGTAAATAATTTTAAAATATTTATTGATAAGATATATGCTATTTTTCATCAATCCAATAAGAACCAAATTGAATTTAACAAAATATCCGAAGAACTTGAAATTGACATCATAAAGATTGGTAGAGTTTTTTGGACCAAGATGGGCTGCCTGTAGTTTAAGATCAACCCTAGCTGTGTGGCGTGCTTATCCAGTGCTACATCACTATTTTCATTCAAATCAAAAATACTTCGGTATGGCTGCCCATCTTGAAAATATATATTTTATGACTGATTTGGCATTGATAATCGATATTCTAGAAGAAATTTCTTTCAAATGGACTGCAAGCAAGAACTAAGACATCATAAAGGTTGAAAAAATGGTGATAAGATCAATTAAATCATTTGAAATGCTTAGAAAGTAAAAGGGTGCATATGAACAAAAAGTTGATGGATTCATTACTTCAGAAACCTTCAAAGATAAAATTTGTAGAAAATTTGTTAGCCTTCCTCAGGAAAGACTTTTAGAAAGCATCATAACCAATTTAAAGAAAAGACTAATGGATTGTGAACATTTAAAAACAGGCAACCAGTCTCTAGACACGAATAAATTACAATTTCTAAATTTTTTGGAGCCAGATTACTGGAATATTGAAGAAGTATTAGTTCCATGGAAAGCAGCTGAAAAAGAATTGGATGCATTAGTGACATTTTTAATTACAAAATTAATATCACCGATTATAGGGATTTTATAGAAAATGTTTTGAAAGATTTGGAGAAATATGCAATTCCTGACAGTATTAAAAAAGCAAAAGCTACTGTCAGAACAATTGCTGTAAATTCAGCAGAAGCGGAAAAGGGTTTTTCACAAATAAACATCATATGTTCAGAGAGCAGAAGTCGCTTAACCGTTTCTAATATAACTGACTTAATAACCATTAATTTAATTGGCCTACCCCTACAGGAATGGGACCCTATTCCTGTAGTTAAGAAATGGTTGAGAGCAAATCACAGTGCTGATGATGCTCGCATAAAAGTGAAAAAAGGGGCAGCCAATAAAACTGCGATATGGCAATACCTTAGATAAGTTTTATTGTTTTTTGTTAAGTATTTAATAGTTTTTCATTAATATTTTAAAATTCTTGTAACAATCTAATTTTGTGTACCTCTTTTATAATAAATTAATAATAAACTATCTTTTGGTATATCTTTTTTTATGCTTAAAACTGTCATTAGGGCAAAGAAATAATGTTGATTGAGTTGGCCACGCCCACGTGGTCACATGACCACCTAGCTGCGCCAACCCAGTCACATGACCACCTCGCCACGACCACCATCATACTTCATCACTCCTTCTTGCATATGTGCATGTTTACCAGGTCTTTTATATATATAGAGAGAGAGTGCTCTTCCAGAAAATTGCTAGACGCATCTTTAAACAAACAAATGTAGTGATATCCCAGGAAAACACTAGTTTAGCATTATGAAATAATATCAGTAACAGATCACTTGCACAGATGAGTTCCAACCAAAGAGGACCTAATGACCAATAAGGAAGTTTCTTTGGGAGTTCTGACCTTTTGCCTCAATGTCATTAGTCTGCTTCCTTGAAATGGAGGCAATGCTATGCAATGCTTAATTGATTTAAAACCATGAATAAAATTGCTACTCCAATTTATGGTAAGCATATAGCAAGTAATAACAAAGGGTCTTCTGTGATATGCAGAAGGAGGTGGGAAAGTGGAAGTAAAGAAGAAGGATAGGGGAACCTGTACTTTTTGCTCCCCCCAATTTATTTGTTTATTTATTGGTTCGATTTATATGCCGCCCTTTTCCAGAGACTCAGGGCGGCTTACAATGCGTTAAGCAATAGTCTTCATACTTTTGTATATACCTGCTTAGCAGGGCTTTCGTCCCCCCCAAGCGGTGTTCTTTTTTTTATATACAAAATCAGCTTATTGCCCCCACAAACCAGGTCCTCATTTTATCTACCTCAAAAGGATGGAAGGCTGAGTCAACCTTGAGCCTGGTGAGATTTGAACTTGCAGTAATTGCAGGCAGCTGGTGTTACTTAACAGTGCTTTAGTCTGCTGCGCCACCAAGGCTCTTCCAATAGCTAGTCCATAGCCCTCTTTAGCCCTCTTTAATCCCTTTGCCTATATCAAGAGAAGGGATTTGCACTTGATGTGTGAAATGCTTTTTTAAAAATTGAATTCTTGGAAATCTCTAGAAAACCTGTTGTGTCCAGACCACACTACGCTTTCTATTTCTCTTTTTATCTATTGACTCATTTTCCTTTGAGTTTT